TTTTACTCCATCCCAGACTCTTCTGTTTTGTAATAAACACCGCTGACACATGCAAATATATGTTACGAACGGAAAAAGTACTTTTTGCGCAATGGACGATCATGTCGAACGTAGATTAACTTTCATTCTCGTTCGACACACTCATTGTTGTCAGTATTGAATTGTTTTTCAAGTGTAAGTTTTCTTTAGTCACAACTGTACTGTCAAAGGAGAAATTAGTATTAAAAATCACAACGGTATTACTGTGTAGCAAATCGGCTGTGTTTTATCAATCACAGGACTGAAGTAACAGTAACAAACTGAAGATGACAAATAAACGTGGCACTGTTAAGCTTTTTACTTTTTCTTTTGAAATAGATGCTCCCAACATTATAAGCTGTGCTCCTAACATTTTCAGCTGTGCGCCTAACATTTCGGCAGTGCGCCTAAAAATATACATCTGGTAGCACAAGTGCTCCCAAACTGAAATTTAAACTTTGAGCCCTGTAAAACCGGAAAAGGTCTCAATCACATAAATGAAAAAACGTTGCCCCTAACAATCTGCAGGCGGTTGTTCCATCAGTCGGGTTTTAGTGACCTAGCTGTGTATTAATGTCCTGTTATTTTGTTTTCAGGGCGATGAAGAGCTTGCGCGTGGAATGCCAATTTCTCCTTACATGAATCGCGACCAGCCGCACGTCGCGCAGTTACAAGAGTCTTTTATCAATCATTTGGTAGCCCCTCTCTACAACGCCTACGCTAACGCGGGTCTTCTGCCAGGGGAATGGGTCGAGACCGACGCAAGCAGTTCAGAGCTGGAGAGCGATGACGAAGGATCTAGCGGAGAAGGGACGAGAAATCCCGAAGGCGAACGAAGAAAGTCGAAAAAATCCCGACGCAGGAAACGGCGTAAGATTACGAGTGATTTGATAACAAACATTGAGAACAATTATAAAATGTGGCTGGAGGTGATTAAGCAAGAGGAAAGAGAAAAACGGAAAGTGAATAAAGTGGAATCTGAAATCAGCGTAGAGAATGATGTGGAGGGATCGGACGAAGAGTTGATGATGATAGAAACCTCGCTGAAAAATGAAGTTATTGAAGAGGAAGAAAATGGTTCTGAATCTGGCAGTAACCCCACTGAGTTACGCAAGCAAAGTAACGTATGAACTGTGTCACGCAGTGAATTAACTTAATAATGATATGGCGGTAAGTTCTTCTTGTCAAGTTAACTTATAATCTCCCTATTCGTGTTATTTTCATTTACCAACTTGGACATACATAGGGAGACTATATGTTGGCCTGTCATGAAGTACTTACTGATATGGCTTTGTTGTCATGTTGCGCAAGTACCACTGCTGTAAATAGATAACGTTAACTTATACCCAGGGTTTTGTCAGAGCTTACATGCGAGAACCGAAACTTGGCCATTTTGTGTTTCGTTTTGGCTATTTCGCAAAAAATTGTAAGCTACTTGGCGAGAGTTTATTGCAAAGGGTACAAATTGATCAAAAGTGGCCTGAAGTGTACTGGATTTTCAAGTATGTATATATGGTGGAACCCGCTACAACACCAGCTCGAGTGTGATATCAGGTACATTGATAGTCAGAGTTCATTCAAATATTTGAGAAAAGCTAAGTGTCATAATGCGAAACTACTCCGTTAATACGACCAAATTTTCATGACCCGAACGAGGTCGTATTAACGACGTTTCACTTTCCTGGGTATTGAGACTTGGGCGAGAGAGACCATCCAACTTCGATACAGTCTTAGCTAAAGTTTTTCCCTGCTATAACAAAACTCTGATATAGGAAATTCTCACAGCCCTACATCAGGTCGTTGCAGTGTTTCATCGTGGCGCCGGCCTTTTGTGGCAACAGCGGATGCCTGGTTGGTAACTTGAAAAAAAACTTCGTTATTCGTTTTAATCTATCGCGCCTGCATCTGTCTTCTAGCGTTCTCCTCCTAGTTCAAGGATAGCTGCTTCATAATGTCGTGTGTCATGTGTAACGAAAGTAATATTGATTTTATGATTTCCAGTCTCAACCCGTGAAAGAAAACTAAAAGAGATGGCAATATCGAAAAATGTAAAAGAAAGCAGCTGAGGTGTATGGTTTAACAATGTCTGCATGCATACACTTAACCGTCTATTGCCTTAATAGGCGCTGAAAGGCAAAAGGAAAACCTGTTAAGGTGTAACCAATTCTCGGCATTTAAAATTCTCTCTATTAGAGAGGCAAATAAGTTAATGCAAAGGTTATTTATTATGAACTTTAACAACATTTAACTGTTGAAATTAACGATACGATGTTCGTTCGCTGATAGAAATAGTCACTTACAATGTCTGACTAACTTCCGTAAAATGGAAGTTACCTAATTCTTTGGTTTTTTGTCCTGCTATAATTTGTCGAACCGAGGTTGATCTTAATTATCGTGCTATGCGAAACACCCAAAGAAACTTCAATATATTTGCCTCGCATTTGCCGCTAAACTTGCGCTAAGGGTGGCGAGTTGTATATATTTGTACAGAGAATTCACTTGTATGTAAAAATAAATATAAGATTCTACAATTTAGTGTAAATATCATGTATTGAGAGCTTGTAACGTGGGGCACTTCTCAGCCGTGTGAACGAATACGTGTCTGCAAAATTATCAGAATAGAGATAGAAAGGTAGTCAGAATATTAGATGGCTGTAGTATTAAAAAACTGTATATTAAATGTAGCAAAACGAAATTATCTATGTTTAAATCATTGAGTGGCAAAAATTTTTACTTACGTAACCTTAAACGCAAAAGTAAATATTTCTTATGTCCCTGGTTCTGAAAACAACAAATAACAATAAAATAACCCGTCCCAACCTCGTTCCCGGGTTCTCTAGTCTTCTCGGAAAGATTGAAACCGTTCGGTGCTGTAATAAACCTGACTCTGTCGGGCCTAGACTACGAGTAGTCCCCCATTTTTCCTCAGGGATAGTAGGGCGAGCGAAACGCGTGAAAAAGGCGACACGCGTGTCGCCTTTTCTCGCGTGGGATGATTTTCACTCGCGCTCGCGGCGCGCTCGCGTTTTGCTCGCCCTACTATCCCTGAGGAAAAATGGGGGACTACTCGTAGTCTATGTCGGGCCTAACAGATCTCTGGTACTGACCACTGCAGTCCATAGTATTGATTGGATGATCTGTAAGGAGAAACTTTACACGTCTTACCCTGCTTTTTCTTTGGATACTTCTTTTGACCCCCCTTTAGCAACCGTGATGGCCAGGAGCCCTTGTCTCTCTTGTCTAATGGTTGCTTGTGAGTAAAGCACAAACAACATGATCAGCGTATCATTTCAAGCGAATCTACCAACTAACGACCTCTTGTTTAAGTATCTGGAGTATGCAGCTAGGAAATCGAACACAACTCACAGTGACCTGGCTGGTATAGTCTCCGATATACAAATAGTTCCTTTTATGATGAATCATGGGAACCTCGACCCTCGACAAAAACCTTGACTCGGGTGAGGGTCGGATCGGTAGGGCAGTTAAGGAATTCACAGCAGGCATTTGCCCGAGGCGTTAAACTCCCATGGCTATTTGCCACAACCCAGCGTTGCGGTTAGGTGCATGACAATCTACGGTCGGTAAGATGGTTGATTACGTATCCGGTACAAGTAATTCGATGTTACGTTTGCGATGTCTAAAAAAAAATATTCTCTCTAAATATTTCTCCATTTGGAAAAGTTAAGAATTCAAAGGATCAGAATGCATTTTAACCAGACGTAGTCAATCGATGAACCGATAATCGATGTTAATTGATAGTAATCGATATCAATCATCAATGAATATAGATTTCCAATATCGATCAATAGAAATCGATAAAGAAAAAAAAGTCTGACTTCGATTGATATCGATTTCCGATAGAAATCGATATTGATTTTTTTTTATCGATTGTCATCGATTACTATCGATCAACATTAACACGATGTTGTCCGTACGGTATTATTGAGTCATTCAGTCGTGATATTATGCACTCCTTTTAATTGATAAAATACTAAAAGAACAAATCACTGACAGGAACAAATTGCTCTTTGTTTGCATTTTTTAGCTTAAGCGCAGTTCATAATAAGGAAAGAAATATTACTGCGAAAATGGCAGAAAATAACGAGTCGCATTAAGAAAGAAACACGTCTGGATTAAATGGACATGTAAAGATCTATTAAGTGAAACGAAATAAACCGAAAACAGGGATCTGATGAAGACTGCGCCTGGAGTAGTTACTGAAGTCATCAAAAGTAAAATGCCTGGTGTTAACCTTAAGCCGGTCTCATGGATGTTGTTCACATTCAAGATTATTCCTTGTTATCGATTACTATCGATAACAAGGAAAAAATAATCGATAAATTGTTATTTCTGTGACTTCGATTTTTATCAATTTCCCATATCAATCCATATCTACTGGTGGATTAAATCGATTAATATCGATTAATTTCTGATATCGATTTTTTTTAGCGATTAACTACGTCTGGATTTTAATCTATTGAGCAAAGACCACAAGGAAGATGCTGCGGTTACTTATTGGGGTTAATATAGGGGCGTAGCCACAGCTTTTTGACATGTTGTGGGCCTGTTCCCTAAGTAGCAAATGCCACTAGCCAATGAAATTTCACTACATGGCACATGATAACCAATCAACATCAATGAAAAAATTGTGACCAGGTAAGCTGTCCAGCTTCAACTGGAAAAGAAAAATGGAGGAAACTAACTGGTCCAGTGACTTTTATTCAGACATTTTTTCTTTAGACTTTGACAGCTTGTTTAATACAATTGATTTAGAAAGCCTTGGAAGTAAAGAAAATAGCGATACAGTCCCTGAAGTCTTAAATACAACAAACCGAGAGAGCGAGCGAGCGGTCCTGGCGGAAACAACAAACAACTTACCGGCACCAGACGAGTCCAGGTTTCCACTTACTTCCACTGACCAAATCCAAGAAACAATTAAAGAAGCACAAAACAAGAACAGAAAAAGAAGTACAAATACGTGGATGAGAGTTTGGTATTCCTGGGCAAAGTCACGTCAAATCAACGAGAGTATAGAAACAATGGCGTCCGCAACTTCAGACGGAGTCCTCCAAAAATTTTATCTGGAAGTGAGAAAGCAAGACGGCTCAGAGTATGAACCGGACTCACTTAAAGTTATGCACGCGGCCCTGGAACGGTACCTATCCAGCCAGAAATATCCATACAGTCTGATAAATAGTCTGAAGTTCTCATCTTCAAGGGCTGTTCTTGAAGCAAAAGCAAAACAACTACGAATGAATGGTTACGGCAAGAGAAAGAATCGCGCCCTGCCGTACAACTCTGCCGAAGAAGAGTCCTTCTGGTCAAGTGGTCTGTTAGGCGACCATGATGGAGTGGCTCTCACAAACGTTAACTTCAAAAATTTGTCCGAGCACTTCGGATCTCGTGGCCGTCAAGACCATTACGACGCTTATGAACAAGATTTTGAAGTTGCGTGGATCCAGATCCAGGGAGGAGAATTGGCAAAGTGCGTTCGTTTCAATGAAAATCCAACAAAGACCCGTTCCAGTGGCCTTTCAGCAAAACACAGAAAAACTCCTCAAGAGATGTGGACCACAGACGGTGGCCTTTCAGCAAAACACAGAAAAACTCCTCAAGAGATGTGGACCACAGACGGTGGACCAAGAGATCCAGTCCGGCTTTTTGAAGAATTTCTGAGAAGGCGCCCATTAGAAATGCGAACCTCTGGGCCTTTGTACTTGTCAATAATATATACAGCGTCCGAAAACCGAAGTTTGGTATGCCAAGTCCAGGATGGGCGAACACAAACTTGGCAGCATTATGAACACCCTAGCACAGACGATCAGCGTTGATGGAAAAAAGATTTCAAATCATTCCACCAGAAAAGCAGTTGTCGCCAAATTGAAGAAAGCCGGACAACCAAGGCACAAAATAATTCAAATCACGGGCCATGCAAACGAAACCTCGCTTGATGACTGCGACGAGATTGATGAAGAAGAAAGGAGAACTCTGTCACATATCATAAGAGGCTATTCTGGACCAACCACAACGACAAGTTCTTCCAAAGCATCGCCGCCAAGCTTGAATTCATTGCCAGTTCCACCTTCAACAGATGATGTTGTGCCATCGAGCAAATATGCAACGTCTTCATCAACTTCGCTAGGTGCAGCCATTAGCCAAGCAAGCGCTTATTCTCTCGCCCATCAGTATTCTAACGTCCAGTCTCCAATTACACGAACAAACGACCCAGCAGTTCAGCAATTCCACAACTGCACTGTAAACATCCAAAACTACTTTGGGCCGCA